GATACAGAGTAAAACATGTAAAATACCTCTAGAAATCAACTAAGGAAGCCCCTCAGAACTATTATGTCAGAATCACTGGTTGATGATTTGTAGACAGAGAGCCTCTCCATGGATAAGCATCCCATTAGAACAGTAATCTATATTGAAAATAGTTTGTTCATTAGCTGTCCTTAAGGGCATTTTGTTCTCCTCTTCCTTGTTACAGAGAGAGGGGCCAACCAGGCCCAGGGCAGGCTAAGAAGGACATCATGAGACAAACATGATTGAGTCTGAAGTGGGAGGGCCAAGTCCCATCTCCAGAGTGAGCTTCTCAGAGCGCATAAACAGCACAGGGTAACCTGCCACCACCGTCTATCTGCAGGGCCCGCTCTGCTCCTGCTGCCATCGTCTATACGCAGGCTCACGGGACAGGTCAAAACCACAGAGTCTGGGGATTACGTTCAGAAGTTCAAGCTAATAAAACCAGACATGCAGAAATGAAGGAGCGAAGGAAGAACAAACATGAGTGGAATTAAGAGATAAAAAGGGCTTGCATGTAGAGAGCTTCTGATCCATTGAACATGGCAAGTTTAGGCCAGGGATTTTGGTTGTCCTGGGCATATTGAGGCCAGATATAGATCTGACTTGAGCCCTGATTTTTTTTTTCTGCAGAGGGCCCATTGCCCATGTTACAGGTCTAAACAGGCTGGGCTCATTCCTACAAAAAGTATCCTTCAGTTTGGAAATGTCACCAAAACCAAGTTCCCAGAAGTTTCCCAAGTGGGCTTCCTAGAGGGAACAATCCAGAAGAAGGGAAGACTGTGGTGTCTAGGGACACAAAGTTGAGTTCCCAGTGCATCACAGGTGTCTACATGGCCCTTGCCTGTGCAGTGTTGTGTGTGGGCTCCAGAAAAGGCAAAGATGCCCCCCCCACCTCGAGTGCAGGAGGTTGGCTTAGAGGCTAAGACAGAGACACAAAGTGTGGATCACCATTCTGCCAATAGAGTGAAGACAAAACTCTGCTCATCCATCTAGTGTTAGAAACCAGGGCTGAAGTCTCTGGGTCTCATACTGGCTACAGTTTAGGGGGATGGGGAATGGAGAAAGGGGCCTGGACACACTGGTTTCCAGTACCAAGTGTTAAGAACTCAATCAGGAGAGGGAGGTGAACAGCAGAAGCAAGCCTTGATTGGTCTGAGAGGACCACTTTGTGATGGAGATTTCCGGGGTCCCAGAATTCCACACGCATGAGCAGGGACCCGGTTTCTTGAAGTCTTGGGCCTGTTTTATGGCCCTGGTTTTGGGGTGTGGATTTCCTTAAAGACTGAGAGAGAAACGTGTTTCCTTGGAGTGTTTTTATTTCTTCCAGGCCCATTACATGAAACGTTTTTACAAAGCTATAATCAAACACACCGACTTTTGATTTATTTAAAACTATGTAATACAGAGATAAGGAAGAAAGAAGACACTGACACCTGGATTATAAGTTTTCTTACTGGATCAGTGTGTGGTCTCCCCTGCAGAGAGGATTTCAGGAATGCTAAGTCAGATGGATTTCTCAGTAAGCTGTACATTCCCCTGTCATAATCTTTGGAGGGTAGGATAAGGTTATGTTGGGTGTCTGTTTCTTCAGCTGATTTGCAACCGCTGGAGAAACTAATAGGAATCAAAGGGCAAAAGGTGGTAAATACAAATGAATTCCTTTAAGGCATGTTAAAAAAAAAAAAAAAAAAGCAAACAAAATCAAAACACGGGACATGATCCACTTTTTTTTTTTTTTTAAAGCTTCAGGTGTGATGAGAGATTAGGTACCCAGCATGGAGAGGAGAGTTAATTAAAGTTTTTGTTCTGGCTTACAGAAAGAAACGTCTTTTCATGTGATAAGGGGATGGCTTTTGTGTACCATGGGTGCTTTCTTCTCCTTCATAGGAGTGTCACAAAAAAAGCAGATCAAAGCAGCCCTCCCTGTCTGTTTCCAGCCGCCCTTCTCAGCTAACGGAGTTAAAAGTGCCTTCCACTTGCCTCGTGGGGCTCACCTGCCTTTAGAAATGACATCTTACTGCACTGCTAACAAGGAAAACAGCATCCATAGGTGCTTATGGGAAGCCATATTTAATAGGAATTAAATGGGAACCAGCCCAGAAGGTCCAAGCGTGGCGTGGCAGGCGCACCTCCCCCTCCGTCCGTATTTTATTTGTCGACTCTGATTGACAGCCGGGAATTAGCACTTGAGCTTGAACGTTCCAGGCTCTGTAGATTTACTGTATATCCCCTGTCCCTTTTGGCCATTATGATTCAGCTCCCCATGGCTGACATTTCCTACCTTCGCTGGGCCGGGAGGGCATGTTTGGGAGAATTCCTGCTGTTTTTCTCTTGAAGAGAGTGACAAAGTGAAATAAGATGGAATGAGATAGGAGACAGAAGTGTCCCTGGTGAGACCTGTCTGAGCTGGCAGGTCAGGCTGCAGGCAGGGGTTGGTCATTGTCGTGCAGTTCTGGGCTCCTGCAGAGAAAACCCTGGCCTGGCCACAGCCACCAATGAAAAGACTGCATTTAGCAGCGCAGGGCTTTGTGAAGGCGCCAAAGCTTGACATGGTTGCTATAGTTACTGTCTGATTGTGGTAGCTTGTCACAGCGCTTGATAAAGTGGGAAGGTTATCCATGATGGGTCCAAGTAATCAGAACCTTGCAAAGCTTGAGTGTGTGGGTTTAAATTGTTTTTTTTTTTTTTCCCGTCTTTAAGCTGGGAGTGCAAGGGGGTGCGGTTAGAGAATCTTAGGACCACAGCCACAGGGCTTTTCTTTCAGACGGGGAAGCTCACACTAGTCTGAAAGGAAGGTGGGTGTCCGGGTGTCTTGAGGCCCAACAGGAATGAGGGTCAGGCTGCCGGCTTGCTGAGCCACGGCTGGTTGACTGCAGCTTTGAGAGGGGCCGTGGAGACCCTCTTCTGACTGTCCTGTAAATGATTAGGTCGTTCCTTTTTGGTTGGTCCCTTGCCTTTTAGGCTTCCTTTCCTGACTTCCCATTCTTCCTTTGTCCCTTGCCCCTACCTGCATTTCCCTGGGGTACAGAGAGAGACTCTTGGAAAGTCATCTGCTTTCCTCTCATGTGGACGAGAAAACAAGTAAAACTGACAACAGCTGGCGGGTCGGGACTCTAACCGTATAGACACCTTTTCTTTCTTCAGACGCGCCCTGAGCCTTTGTCCACGTGACAGTCTCATGCCCATTGACAAAGGGACTCCGGTGGCTCTTTGTAAATTCTGATGTGCTCCCAGAAACCCTAGCTCAGCAGGGCTAAGGCTAGAAACCTACATGTCCCCAGTTCCCACTGAGGACTGTGCCACAGGTGGCTGACCAATAGCATGGGCCCAGACTTTACCGTTTAGAACGCAGGGGCGGATTAGTTAGCAGGGACTCGGGTGACTTGGTAGCCAGGGTGGGACTTGTGCCCAATTCTAGGACCCTTCAGAGTGGATTATCTCCTCAGCCTTTCTCCCCGTTCCCTAACCCAAGGCAGCCAGATCCACCAACAGGACTCCCTAAACTGCCCGATAGGGAGGCCTTGTCATGCCCTCCTCTGTCTAGACTACATATCTCCAAGTGAAGCCCCACACTGCAATTGTGTACCTGGCCGGGCCTGCTTTGACCAGGGCCAGGGCTCCTTCCTTTGCTATTGACACTCAAAGTTACTGTGGCATACTAGCAGGCCAGTGCACACTTTGCTTGCATGTGTGTTGGCTGCTGTGAACTCCAGAGGCAGGGATGAGCCTCAGTGCACACAGCTCCCAAGTAACGGGGAATGGATCTAAGTGGGTCCTGTGATTCAAAACCACAGCCCCCATCCTAAAGGGATAAGGGATTCCCGTTGGAGCCACTTTGAGTGACCATGGCCTCGGAATACAGGTTTAGGTTATCCCAAATTCCAGGTTTGAACACAGACATAGTCTTACAGTTTTACAAAACAAAGAAAGTCGTAAGTCAGGGCAAGCTGGTGGGAACACTAGAGAGGGTGCACAGCAGATGACGGAGCTAGTCTGTTGGCCCAAGATGCTATCTGATGATGTCCTTAGCTTTGGGGGTGGTGGACACTAGAGGTCTACTAACTTAATAGATGGCAGAAGGTTTCTATCTATTTATCACAAGATAGTTCAGACATAGTGATGGGCAAGGAATGGATGTTCCAGAGGGCTAGAGTGAACCTAAGATAAGGTTAGGCTCTAGATCTGTAACATCCCTGCCTCTCTACAGTACTGGCATTCTAATCGGCCAGTCAGCCTCTGCAGACACAGCTTCCTTTCGGAGTTTTGTTTACGCTACTGAGATTGGAGGAGCCTGGATAGATGTCATTTTCCTAAGCCACTCAATTGAGATGGGGAGTCCAGTATATATCCAGGGCAGGTCTGAGGGCCACACTCTCATTCTTGGTGAGGAGCCCAGACTCCGAAGCAAGGCCTGTGAGGTTAAGATGTCCCTATGATGATTCCCTGTGACTTTGCTTTATGCTAGATTTACCTCCCAGTGCCAGAGAAGCTGGACTTTCAAACTGTAAAACAAATATTTGTCCTCTGGTCCTAATTAGAAACAAATCACAACCAGAATTCATTTACCCCTGAGTGACAGGGCTTAGAACCCAGTAAGGCTGCTGTGTGTGTAGCGGTGGTACCTGGATACAAATGAGGTGATCGTTTATCAAATGTAATCTAACTCCCCAGGACACCAGAGCATCTCTGCTAGCATATGCTAGGTATGGGGCTCGGGGGAAGGCAACGGCCTCTTCAATGAGACTCGCTGGAGACTATTTGTCAAGACAAGAATAAAACAAAATTAACGAATTCATCTTGGCCCCGTATTCCTTACCGACTGTATAGCCCAAGTTGGCCCAGGAAGAAACTGTTTGGCCCCACATTCTCAAGTCAAAGCTCATGTCCTCGGAGCCCCCTCCTCTGCTTTGTTTGGTTGGATCCATGGGAAGAGTGAGTCCAGTGGTGGCAACAATGCTCATGGTGGCCTTTCCCCGCAGGGTGCAGAGGTGCAAACAGACTACATACCCCTGCTGAACTCCCTGGCGGCCTATGGATGGCAGCTCACCTGCGTGCTGCCAACTCCCATACTCAAGACTACCAGGTAACACGAATGGTAACTATGGTGATTGCTGTCACTGCTCCTGAGAAGTGGATACTCTCTTTAGTGCTGCATCAGGCCTGTGGGCTGGCACTGAACTCTCTTGGCTTCCAGGGTCAGGGTTGCCCTGGGGGACTGAAATTAGCCACCTGGGCTGGCAGGACCCTGTACCAGCAGACATAAAAGCAGTTCAATGCCTACTCTGGGCTCTGGGCTCAGGAGTACTACGTGTATAGAACCTCAATTAAGAGGGGTGGGGGGTTGGGAAGAGAAAAGGAGAATGGAGGAAGGGGGAGGAGTCTGAGACACTGAGCTAGAGAGACCTGTGAGGTAGATCTCTGGCTTTGAGATAGGATCCACTCTGTCCCAGGCGGGCGTTGAACCAGCACCCCTCCAGCCTTAGCCTCCTGGATGATAAACATGTGCCACCGTACCAGCTGATTTATTAATATTCTTATTTTAAATTCATTTTTAGCCAAGGAAAGTGTGCCCTGGAATGATAAGGGATTTTTCCCAATAGCACGCCGCTGTGAGGCAGATATCCAGACCTGAGTCTTGGGCCTTACTTGTGGCATTCTCTACAAGTTCAGATTCATGGACACTTTCCCCTTGTCCTTGAGCCTCCCATCTATCTTTTGGGTCCTCCTAACCTTCCGTGAGGGCTATAATCATAGTCGCAATTTCATGGGTGAAAAGTGAAACTCAGAAAGGTCTGTTGTGGGCCCGAGGCCCGGTGGGCAGTAGGGAGGGGTAACAGGTCCTAAAGCCTCAGTATGTACTGACAGGCCCCTGTCCAGCAGCTGGCTGCCTTCCTGTTGACCTACATTGATTCCCCTCTCTCATCTCCCTACCCAGTGGTCCTTAGGGTTCTGCCTTTACTGAACTCACTGTGCATTTCACACTGCAGGGAAACAGCAGCCGGCAAGACGATGGCCTGGGCTGGTTGACATTGGGAAAATGACCATGATAGCCCATGGCCTTCCTGGTCCCCTCTTCTGGCTCCTTTGGGTCCTCAGAATCCCTGCCTGTCTGTGGCAACATTTGGGTTTGCCCACTGGGAACCTTGTACTCTTTCCCAGACCAGAGCATCTTCAGCCATGGGCTAATACAGCAGAGCAGAAAACATCCCAAAGCTGCCACTTGCTGCCTTGGTCATCCTAGCAAAGGCCTGCAGCTTCTCTGAGTCCATTCCTAGTTACTTTCCAGAGGATATAACCATGATGGCAATGAGATTAGACAGGAAGACCCAGTCCTGTGAGAGATGTGACCCCGGGTGCACAGAGCTGTCTGTCTCAGGGATGCAAACCTACCGCCCTTCCTCTCCTTAAACATCTCAACATTGGTGGATCTCAGCTCCTGGGACTGAGCAGGCCTATCTGACCCTGAGGGTCTGAGGGCACTTATGAGCTGAGCTGAACTTTTGGTCGGTCAAAGTGCTTGTGGGCTGCCTTGAAGCAGGATGCTCATTCTAAAATGAGCCCTAAGGAGTGAAATCACCAGCCTAGACTCTGGCAAACTGAGTTCAAGGCCAGCCTGGTCTACAGAGCAAGTTCCAGAACAGCCAAGGCTACACACACACACACACACACACACACACACACACACACACACACACACACACCACTCTGAAAAAAAATGGAAAAAAATATTAAGAAGATTAAACAAGGGGATGGAGGGATTGTTCAGTGGTTAAAAGCACTGTCTGTTCTTCCAGAGGACCCAGGTTCAATTCCCAGCACTCACATGACAGCTCACAATTGTCTATAACTCCATTCCAGGGATCTGACACCCTCACCCAGACAAGCATTCAGGCAAAAGAAATAAAATAAAATAAAATAAGGTGAACTAAGGGTAGAGGTGGAGAGAACCATCATCACCTTTAATACTTCTGTCAAGGGTACAGCATGGTGCCCTGCCTTCTGTGACTCACAGCATACGAGCTCTCATCTCATTCCATCAGTGTGGGTCAGACTTGATTGGCATTGCCATCTCACAGCTAGCCTGACGTCAGCATGCCTGTAGGAGCCTGTAGGAATTCTTCCTCTGCCTTCCTCACTGCGCACCGGAGGGCTAAGCATCACCCATCTTTATTTTCTGCCCAGCCATCCCATAAGTACCAAAGGCAGAGCTGTACATCCCTCTGTTCCTACTGGGACTCCTTTAGAGCTAGTGTATCCTCACTTAGCCAAGGCACCAGCTGCCACTGTCCATCAAGGGTAGGGGAATTAGTATCTAGGGATAACTGGGCAGCGTTGGTTGGTGCCTGAGGCAGCCTTTGGCTTGGGATGGGAAAGCAGAGAAGGGAGCTCCCTGGTTTGTCGGCAGCCTTCCTTCACTTAAAGGAAGTTCAGGATTGCACCTGCGGGTGAGACTGTGTCTCCCAGGAACCCCTGCTCATCCTCTGCTCTTGCATTGTAGGGAAGGGAGTGTGTCCACCAAGCAAATCGTGTTCCTTCAGAGACCATGTCTACCTCAGAAAATCAAGAAGAGGGAATCCAAGGTAAGAGACATGAGATTTCTCTACCCTACCCTTTGTGTTCCCTGGTTTTCTGTCTGAGCATCCAGCTGGGCCTCTCCCATTTCCAACGGCTCTTGGGACCCACTAAAGACACAGGTTCATATTGGCTCAGAGTAGGGGGATGCTGGGATGGGCCATTGAGGAGCTGGTCCTCAGTCATCTGACTATCAGGGCAGATGACAGAGACTTCTGGTCACCAGCCTATGCTAGAGAACCCCACAAGGCTCACATTGGGACACAAAGCCAGCTGTAGTGACCTGAACTCATGCCCTTCCTGATCTCAAACACGCTGGCTGGAGCTCTGGCCTGCCTGCTAGGCCCCTTAGGACATTGGAGCTTGCCGGTCCTGGCCTGGTGTGCTAGTGTATGTCTAGCATGAGGACATGGGAACAGCAAGGTAAGTGTGAGGCCAGCGTCTGCTATGTGGGAGGCCTTCCCACAAAACTTAGACCAGAAGTTTCCTGATCTTGCCAGAGGAACTGCCAGCCTCTTCTTGCTCGGACCTGAGCCAGAGGTCTATGACTAGCAGTTGGTGATGCAGACAGATGCCAGCATAGCCTGTGGTAGTTTGACCCCAAGGCAGTCTGTGCTGGAGGGTGGCCAGGCTCTGTGTGTCCTCTGAAACAGCCTGGCATCTGCTTTTGCATGTGACCCAGATCCTCCGCCCGCCATCTTGGATGTGGGGCTTCTCCTGTATGCTTCAGGTGGGGTCTACAATGTCCTCCAAAGGTTCATGTGCTGATGGCTCAGGCTGCCTGGTGGTACTGTTATGAGATGCAATTAAACATTTACAGCTGGGAAAGTGGAAGGAAGCTAGGCCATGGAGGGTATGCTCTTGAAGTGAATATTGGAGCAGCCTCTGCCCCTCTCTCTTGGTTTGCATGTTATCATGGGTCTCCAGCGCCCACCCCCTAACATCCCACCACAGGTCCAAAGTAATGGAACCAACAGACTACAAACCAAGTTCTCTGGAACTGTCAACCAAGCTAGACCTTCCTTTCTTTTAGGTTGACTTTCTTTTAAAGTTCTTTATGTGTTTTTGTTCCACGTGTGTGTGGCTATGCCTGCACGTCTCACTTGTGTCTATGGAGGCCAAAAGGAATCGGATCCCTTGGATCGGTTACAGGAGGTTGTGAGCTGCTTGGTGTGGGCTCTGGGAATTAAACCTGGCTCCTCTAGCCAGAACACCGTCTCGCTCTCCAGACTCCTTTAGCTGAGCTTCTTATTATAGGGAACGAACATGGATTATATGCTGTGGGTGTGCTACTAGCTTCTCAGGAGGACCCAGCAGTTGAATGAGTCTACCAAAGCCCCAGTTAGTGTCACCTGGACCACCATGCTCCACTCTGATGGACACAGCCACACCCATTTATCTCTGCACAATTGGCCCTCCCCCCCTCCCACACACTCATTGTCCCTGGTGTTCTTTGGACCCAGAGTCCCAGGTAGGAGCATCTAGCCACTGAACAGATTGGAGTAGCCCCTCACCAGCCAACAAACCCTGTGGGTTGCCCATTCATTGAAGGAATGCCACAGTGGCAAGGACAAGAAGCCAGATGGTCTGGAGGGCGAAGGAAGGCCACTCTCCGGGGTCTGAGATAATAATGTGACAGGCGACAACAGAGGTGAACCAGACAGCAGCTGCCAGTCACCATTAACCACCAGGAGCAGTCAGCCACCACCTGGAAGATAGATGGCCATAGACTGATATCGGGTAGTACGGAGTCTCAGGCTCTCAGGATGTCACCATATTTTCTCATAATTGATGTCAGGGATCCTTCAAATAGGATCTCTTTCCTTCTTATTTTTTTTTTAATTTATTTTCAAGACAGTGTTTTCTCTGTGTAGCCCTGGCTGTCCTGGAACTCACTCTGTAGACCAGGCTGGCCCCGAACTCAGGATCCACCTGCCTCTTCTTCCCAAGTGTTGGGATTAAAGACTTGCACCATCACCATCAGGCCAAAGCATCATTCACTGCCATTAAGCCTTAGCTGGTAAATAGGTGTAAGGGTCCATCTGACCTGACCGGTTCATCCAGACCTCTGAAAGCCTGGAAGCCAAGCGAGGCACTTAGGCTAGAGCTGAGCCAAAGTGTGGCTGCCCTTACCCTCTAGAACAAGGTTCTTTTTTGTTTGCCTCTTTGTTTTGCCCTTTGTTTTTCCCAGAAAGAAAGGCTGGGAAGGTGGCGGAAGAAACTAGGTTGAACTCTGGCACTGTAGTTTCCAAGCTGTGTGATTTGGGACAAGTTACCCAACTTCTCTAAACTTCTTTGTGTTACAATGTAAAATAGCACTGATAATGCTTATGGTTCACGTCTCCCTGAGTCCACAAGTGAGACCATAAACATCATCAGTGGTATTTTACATTGCCTGCCTTGTAATCTGTAAGCTCCCATCGTTTTCAGGTTCAACAAAACATGGCCTTCTGCAGCAACACTGTGGCCAGGCTTTCCCAAAGGCTGGACATTGTCTGGTGTATTTAGCAGAGGCAGATGCCGAGAAAGTCTGGGCCCATGGTAGAAAGCGGCACATCTCAAGGCTGGCAGAGCTGTCCTTGGCAGGTCACTGTGTATCCACAGGAGACACTACTCACATTAGCTGCCATGTATGGGTCGAGGGGCAACTGTGAGAGAAGAGGAACATCACAGCCCTAAGAGCTTGCTCAGGAAATGACAGCCATTTAGCGCCAGATCCAGGACGCAGGCTCAGCAGCCCAGAAGTGCAGGCAAGCCTCTTAGCTGAGCCAATCCCACTGCAGAAGTACAGCTTCCTCTGACTTCTCGCAACAGCTGACAGCTCCAAAGATAAAATGCATCTTACAAAAGCATGGGAAATGTCAGAAGGTTCTGTTTGGGAATGTCCATTCGCTTGGGGCTCCAACCAGAGAAACATGGTGTCCCGATGGTCAGAGGGGATGCTCAGGACATTCTAAAAGCGGAGGGCTGTGGGTTTTCGTTTTCCTGTTCTTGGTCCAGTTAGTAGAACTGTTTGGGAAGGATTAGGAGGTGTGGCCTTGTTGGAGGAGGCGTGTCATTGGAATGGGCTTTGAGGTTTACGGAGCCCATGCCTCGCCTCTCTGCCTAATGCTTGTGGACCTCAGCTCCTGCTGCAGTGGCTGCCTGCTGTTACCACGCTGCCCACTGTGATGCTCTGACCCTCTGAAACGGTGAGCCCCCAAATTAAAACCAAACTAAACGCTTTTTCTTTGTAAGTTGACCTAGCCATGGTGTCTCACCCCATCCCAACAATAGAAAAGTAAGGCAGCTTAGCCTCCGGCATAGTGGGGTGACACACACTTCTCCTAGCTCATTTTAATACTTAAGCGTATATCTGGCAATAACCAGTGTGCTGCAACTGAAATGGATGGAAGGAGGAGACTAGTAAGAACTTAAAAGCCAAACCCGCCGTATGTCTCTAGGCTCACAAAAGGGGCTGAGAAATCTGGCCAGTGAGTGTCCCAGCTGGGCCTTTCTCAGCGATCCCCTTCCAGAGCGACCGCAAGAGCAAAGCTTTTGCCACCCTGTCACTGGGTACATGGCCCTGGGTCTCTGAGCCTCTATTGAGTTCCTTTCACGTGAGCAAATCTTAGCTGCAGTACCGCTTGTGAAGCGGGCTGGAGGGTGGACCTGGGTGGAGGAGGCTCTCAGGGACAGCACCCTGTAGGATGGGCCAGAAGGAGAAGCTCGGCTGGGCTGCGTCTCAGGCTCCAGGGGACTGCAAGCAGGCTAGGTTTTCACAGTTGGAAGAGTTGGGTTGCGGTGGGCGCCACACATGAGTCATAGGTTTGTGGGTTTGTCTGAGCATCTTCGTGAGCTTGTAAGGGAGGGCTGACAGCAACCATCACCCATGAGTCCTGCAGGAAAATCTAGAGTCTGCAGCACAGCGCCCCAGCCATGTGCCCCTGGCTAACTCACGTAAGCTGGGGAAAGAATTGCACGCTGAGTACTCACTGGTCCACAGCCCACTCACTATGGGGCTGGATAACTGTAGGCCTGAGGTCTAGAGAGGGCAGCTTCCCGTTGTCTGCTTTAAACCTCCAAGCAATGCCACTTCAGGAGCACTTGCCTCCTTTGCCATGGGGCCCGTAACACCGTTCTCCATTCCCAGCTCCCCAAAATTAGAATGTGTACATGGAAGGTGTCAAACAGGCGCTGGAGGTGGAGAGATGGTTTGGATTAGGTCCTGGCTTGCTGGTGTCCAGGAATCTTGGAACTGCCGGGTTTGGACAGGAGACGTGAAAGAGATGAGCTGACTCCCGGTGACCGCTTGTTCATCTGCATCCTCTCTGCTTTCCAGTTCCAGTGGCGATTCTCCCGGGAAGAGACACGCGGCAGGCAGACGAGGAAATCCAAAGGTAAACGCAGTGCCAGAGACAAGCAGCAAGCAGAAGAGAATGAGAAGAATCTAGAAGAGCAGTTTCCCAAGGCTGGAGATGTGGGGAACTGTGTGCTGGGGACACAGCAGAGGGGCAGGGAGAAAAGGCAGAGCTTGGGGGCTGTGCAGAATGGTCCTGCTGGCCACAGCAGGGACTCGGTGGTCCCCAGCCACTCTAACCCCAGAGGGGAAGATGAGCTTGCTTCAGGGCCTGCTCCAGCAGAGGCAAATTGATTTGTGCTAGGCCTGCAGTGGGATGGCAAACCTTGGGAAGCTTGCTAGCAGCTGGTTTGTTCTGTGTTATCCTTTGGCTTGACCCATCGTTAGCTCAACAGGCCCTGTAAGGGCTGGTCTCTGGCAGTGTTCTCTTCTGAGCATCCTCTGGAAAGCTGTCTTAATGATCACTTATGTTAGAGTGCAAGGTTGGGCTGTTCCTTCTAGACCTCAGGGCTGGAGGTCTGGTCCCTCCGCTTCCCCAAGGGAGGGCATGGACCATGCAGTGCCTGTACTTCCCTACAGGGCTCCAGGGAACATCTGGGTCAACTTCTAGGACATCCTTCGCTACAAACCAAGGGTTTTCACTCACCCCTACATGCACCTGAGCCCTGCAGCTCTGCAGGCCGCCCTCCACCACCCAAAACCCTGCAGCTCTGCGGCCTGTCCTCCACCTGAACCCCGCAGGAGACCCTGATGCTTTGGAAGTTGACAATGGTGGGTGGGGAGGGGAGGTACCCAAGCCCTCTGCCTTTCTCAGAGTAGTTCTATAGATACTGGTGATCTGGAAACAGGGAATTATCTGTGCTCCTGCTCTTGCAGGGTGTTCAAGAAAGTATTCTGTGTTAATATTAATGCCAAAAATGTTTTTAAATTTTGTATCCGACACATCTCTGTCATTTAGGGCAGTTGGTAATTGGGTGCCCTTGTGTGCTATTTTTTGTCATTGACTGAGTTGTATATGGTGCCTGTCACTTTTTTACTGTCCATAAAGTGTTGTTAAGGCTTTAAGTAGATGCATCTGGCAAACCTTGGAGAGAGAACGCCATTGTCTCGATGGAAATGGCCTGTCTCTTTCTTGTTCAGTTACTTAAAGCAATAAATCATCCGAGTTCTGTGTGTGGTGAGAAGTATTTGCCTTGTCACAACAGAGATCCTGGTATAGGAGGACTCTGCCCCTGGTGCCCTGGGACGATCAAGTTTTCTGCCTCCTGGCAGTGTGGTCGACTGTGGCAAACAAAGCTCACTGGGCTTTCAAGCTTTTGCTTAAAAAAGAAGTGGAAAGTGAATTCAGAGGCCACCAGGTGAGCAAAAGGGCACAGGTTAGCTGTAATCAAATGCCTGTAACGCCAACATTGATTCGGAGGTGTGCTTTCTAAGTAAGTTATTTAATGAGAAAAATCTTTTTCATTTTCAAGTTTATTAAAAATAAAACTTGCAAAGCCTCGTGCAGCCATTTTTTTTTTTTTTAATTTTATGTGTTTGGGTGTTTCGCCTGTGTGTGCGTCTGGGTACCAATTGCATATCTGAAACCTGCTAAGGCCAGAAAAGGGTGTCAGATCCCTGGAACTGGACCTACAGATGGTTGGGAGCCTCCCCAGCTGGAGGGCTTTGGCCACTCAGCTTTGGGTAGATGTTTCAATGAGTAACATTTGTGTCTTATTTATTGTGGGGGTGGATTTTTGAATTCTTTGGGGAAGTTGTTCCAGGTTCAGACTGTCTTCTTTTCTTCTCCCTTGTACTGTATTGTGGACATTTTCAAATTACCTGTATTTCTGAAAAATGCATTTGACCATTGTGGTTTTCAGATATGGATCTACTTCAAAGAACAGCATCTTTGACGAGGGCTGAGGGCTGCCCTTACTTGTGAGTCTGAGAATGCACATTCAGAATGCAGTTAGGAATTATGCTGGCCTAGTAAAGTAGAGTGGTAGGTTCTCCTCCAAGATCCATGGTCTCAGTAGCTATCAGGGTTCCCAGCATCAGGCACGATTTCCCTCCTGCTGAGCGGACCTTAAGTCTGGTTAGAAGGCTGTGGGTTACCACCAAGATGAATGCCACTATTGTACCTTTCAGGAGGACCTTATAGGGCTGGTCATTGTTGTGGTTCATACGTGTCACAACTGGGTAGGATTATTGATTGTCCCTCCTCACTTGACAGTTTACACAGCACCTTCTGATAGTATTAAGGCTAATCCTTGGAGATGAGGCTTTGGGTCTTATCCCATAAAAAAGGTATGAGTCCCATCTCCAAAGGGCATGGTCTCTTCAGCAGCAGAGACTTACCTTCAACACCTGGGAAGCAACCAATGGCAATAGCAATAGCTGATACTATTTTGTGAGTCTCCTGGACTCCCCTGACCAAGAACTTGAAAAGGTGTCTTTTCATGTTTGGTACTTGCATGTTGTTAGATTGTCTATGGCTCCTTGTGGGGAGCATTGTCATCCTAAGTGACCAAAATTCATTAAAAATTCTTATGCACTAACTGTGTCAACATGCAAATAAATCCATATCTATCCCCATGCACAAAACTCAAGTCCATATGGATCAAAGACCTCAACATAAAACCAACCACACTGAACCCATAGAAGAAAAAGTGGGAAATAGCCTTGACCGCATAGGCACAGGAAACCACATCCTAAATAGACCACCAGTAGCACAGACACTGAGAGCAACAATCAATACATGGGACCTCCTGAAACTGAGAAACTTCTGTAAAGCAAAGGCCATGGTCAATAAGACAAAATAGCAGCCTACAGAATGGGAAAAGATCTTTACCAACCCCCCCCCAAATGGGTAGAGGTCTAAACAAAGAACTCTTCAACATAGGAATCTCAAATGGCACAAAGACACTTAAGGAAATGCTCAACATCCTTAGTCAACAGGGAAATGCAAATCAATATCACTCTGAGATACCATCTTACACCTGTCAGAGTGGCCAAAATCAAAAACTCTGATAACATCTTATGCTGGAGAGGATGTGGAATAAGGGGAACACTTCTCCATTGCTGGTGGGAACGCAAACTTGTACAGCAACTTTGGAAGTCAGTATGGCTGTTTCACAGAAAATTAGGAGTTAATCTACCTCAAGACTCAGCAATACCACTTTTGGGCATATACCCAAAGGAAGCACACTCACACCACAAGGACATTTGCTCAGCTATGGTCATTGAGATAGCCAGAACCTGGAATCAACCTAGATGCCCCTCAACTGAAGAATGGATAAAGAAAATGTAGTACATTTACATATCAGAGTGTGTTTCAGCATTAAGAAACAATGACACCTTGAAATTTGCAGGCAAATGGACAGAACTAGAAAAAGCTCTCTTGAGTGAGGTAACCCAGACCCAGAAAGCCAAATATAATGCATACTCACTCATAAGTGGATACTAGACTTAAAGCAAAGGACAACCAGCCTATAGGCCACAACCCTAGAGAGCCTAGGTAACAAAAAGGGCCCTAAAAGAGACACATGGATCCACCTAGGAAAGGAAAAAAGACAAGATTTCCTGAGTAAATTGGGAGCATATGGGTTGGGGTAGGAGGGAGGGTGGAATAGGAGAGGAGGAGAGGAAAATGTATAGTTCAATAAAAGTAAATTTAAAAATACTTATGCAAATAAGCTTATGTGCATTGTATGTAATTTTAGTTAAACAGAAAATATGATTCCTTTTGACTTTTAGAAACCATCCCGAGAGCATTCTTCCCTCCTCCTTCTCTCTCCTTCTGTATAGACCTTCCTCCCTCATTCCTAATTAAAGTGCCCTCATTTCCCCACTCCCCCGTATCACTGTCTCCTTCTCTATCACCACACACACACACACACACACACACACACACACACACACACCAGTAGACACACACACACACCACAGTAGACACACACACACATACAGACACACACACACACCAATAGACACACACACACCACAGTAGACACACACACACCACAGTACACACACACCACAGTACACACACACACATACCAGTAGACACACACACACACACACACCAGTAGACACACACACCACAGTACACACACACACCACAGTAGACACACACACACACCACAGTAGACACACACACACACCACAGTAGACACACACACACACCCCACAGTAGACACATACACACACACACCACAGTAGACACACACACACCTCAGTAGACACACACACACACCCCACAGTAGACACTCACACACACCACAGTAGACACACACACACACCACAGTAGACACACACCACAGTAGACACACACACACATTCTATAGTATACACACACAAACACACACACGTACATACACACCACAGTAGACACACACACACACAGACACACAAATTCCATAGTATATACACACACACCACAGTACACACACACACACACACACCACAGTAGAAACACAAGCACACTTCATAGTATACACACACACATACACACACACACCATAGTGTATACACACACACATACACACCATAGTAGGCACACACACACACACACATACAGACACACACACACACCAATAGACACACACACACCACAGTAGACACACACACACCACAGTACACACACACCACAGTACACACACACACAACCAGGACACACACACACACACCAGTGCACACACACCACAGTACACACACACCCACAGTGCACACACACACACCACAGTAGACACACACACACACCCAGCACACACACACACACCCCACAGTAGCACATACACACACACACCACAGTAGACACACACACACCTCAGTAGACACACACACACACCCCACAGTAGACACTCACACACACCACAGTAGCACACACACACACCACAGTAGCACACACCACAGTAGCACACACACACATTCTATAGTATACACACACAAACACACACACGTACATACACACCACAGTAGCACACACACACACAGCACACAAATTCCATAGTATATACACACACACCACAGTACACACACACACACACACACACCACAGTAGACACACAAGCACACTTCATAGTATACACACACACATACACACACACACCATAGTGTATACACACACACATACACACACACACACCATAGTAGGCGCACACACACACACACCATGGTCCGCTTTTACTTCCCTGGTTTCTGTGGTTACTTCAGGGTTATATACTCACATATGGAGATTTCAAAGCTAAGAACCACAGATGAGAGACAACATTTGTCTTTATGGACCTGGGTTACCTTAGTCAATGTATTTTCCAGTTAGCCTTGGCTGTTCTGGAACTCCCTATGTAGACCAGGCTGGCCTCTATTCTGTTTGCCTGTGTTTTGGGGCATTAGGATTAAAGGTGTGTGCCACCATGATTGGCTCTTCTGGTTTTTTTATGAGGTATAAATCCCCAGTGTGACTGCTTTCAGTGTGGCCCTGAGGTTTTGTTGTGTTGTTTTTATTTTCACTTAGCTTCAGAATTTTTTTCTTTCTTTCTTAACTTTGTTGCCCTATTCATCATTCATTAATGAACTGTTTAATCTCCATGAGTCTGTACATATGTTTGCTGTTAGTTTTAAGCTTTATTGCTTTGTAGTCAGCGAAGACACATGGAGTTCATCCTTCCTTCTTTCCTCCCTCCCTCTTTCCCTCCCTCCCTCTCTTCCTCCCTCCCTTCCTCCCTCTGTTCTCCCTCCCTCCCTACTCCCTTCCTCCCTCCCTTCCTTATTTTCTTCTGAATTTGTTGATTTGTTTTGTGTCTCAGGATAAAGTCTATTCAGGAGCAGCTTCCATGGGCTGCTGAGGGAAATGTGTACTGTGGTGTTCGGATGGAATACTCTGTAGATACTGTTAGGTCCTTTGATATAAAAGGTCATTGTATTCTGATATTTCTGTGTTTATTTTTTGTCCGGGTGACTTGTCTATTGGAGAAAGGGGGCATTGAAATCGCCTAGTATTAAGAGTTTGATGTTAATTTCTCTTTCATTTCTGTAGTACACTCTTCATGGATCTGGGTGCACCAGGGTTTGGTGTATGTTTCTTGGCTATGAGAATGAAGTGTCCTTTGTCTCTCCTGGTGCATCTGAGTTTGAATCTGTTTGGTCAGATGGTTTTCCACCCTTTTACTTTAAGGAGTCCCTATCTGTAA